CTGGGACCAGACTGGGACCAGACCAGGACTGACTGGGACCAGAGTGGGACCAGACTGGGACCAGACCAGGACTGACTGGGACCAGACTGGGACCAGACCAGGACTGACTGCGACCAGAGTGGGACCAGACCAGGACTGACTGGGACCAGAGTGGGACCAGACCAGGACTGACTGGGACCAGACCAGGACTGACTGGGACCAGACTGGGACCAGACCAGGACTGACTGGGACCAGAGTGGGACCAGACCAGGACTGACTGGGACCAGAGTGGGACCAGACCAGGACTGACTGGGACCAGAGTGGGACTGAGATCGGGACTCAGACTGGGACTGAGACCAGGACTGAGACCTGGTTTAGTCCTGGTTTAGTCCTGGTTCAGTCCTGGTTCAGTCCGGGGGTTTAAGTCACGAAAACGGGATCATTATTCCTTTAAACACAAAATCAAAAAATGAAAAAAATAATTGTTATCCATTTTTTCATTTTGGTTTTGAAGACAAATAATGAAGAAAATAGTTGTGGGGTTTTTTTGTTGTTTTTTTTTTTTTTTTTTTCATTTTCTTATTTTTGGTTTTATATTGCAAAATGATTCCTAACCCTACTGAACAAAAACAGAATTCCAAGAAAAAAAGCAGCGTATGAACAGAAAAAATAAAATGCTGTGACCTTGTGGGACTGAAACAAAACACAACTCCAGGTTTGTTTTTGAGGAGGTAACAACATTATAACACGACTTAAAGGTTGTATGGAGGATTTTTTTTTTGTTTCAAACTGTCAGTGAAAGATTAAAATACCCTAACAGAGACGCAGCAGCTTTGTAATTATAATGACCAAAAAAAAAAAAAACGAAAATCTATCAACTGTGGACGTGTTGAGGCCAGATAAACATCAGCCAATAGAAAACGAGGCTCCCTCATTTTCTATTGGCTGTTAGACTGTCAATCAAACTCCCTAGTATAACTGACTCGTCGGCGTGCGGGGATTATGTGGTTTACGCAGCGGTTCTTAGAGGCTTTTTCGAACTGTCGCTTCCTCGCATTTCACACAAAGTTTGTCGCGACGGCGGACGAGAATCCACGACCGGTTCGCCGCAAAAGAAAGTCCGTTTTTGAGGTCGCTGAAAGAAGAAGAGAAGAGGAAAAGGAGCAAAGCCAAACTGAGGTGATTCTTGGAGATCTCGTCCAGGGATGGCGCGACCGAAGCAGACGAAGCGTCTAAAAACTGACGCGTCGGTCGCTGAATTACTTCTAGACAGGAAACTTCAACAGTTATTCTGAACGCGCACAAGGACTGTCGCTGTATTTCTCTTCCCTTAAAAAAATCCTCTATACAACCTTTAAAGCTCACAAGAGTCAATTTTGTGTAATTTAGAACTTTTAACACAACATAATCATGAGTGGTAGCTGCTCTCTCCTCGGGGTCATGTTTTGGCCCTGAGTTTCCATGGAGAATAGGAGTCTGGTTGTTATTGTGTCAGGCTGTGTGCTGCCTGCAGAGCTGTGGGCCGGGGCTGGTTCTGTCTCATGCTCTGGGAGTGTCATCTGACTGAAAACAAAACAGCCCAAGAGAAAAACCACTCAGATGACCCACTGCGGAGGAGAGACTTCACGGAGTTAACATGGCCGCCCCGGGGAAACGGTTAGGGTCTGGTTTATGTTTGAATTCGGCAAAAATGCAGTAGAGGTTCTATAGATAATAATTTATAAATGAAGAGAGAGATAGAAAGAGTTCATATTACACTGTTTTCTGAGCTGTGTAATAATGTTGTTAACTCAAGAAAACATGTTTTGTTTCTTTCACACACAGCGGTGTAGTGGGGATTTTTTTTCAAGTGGGGATACGTGATTCATGACGACATAAATCAGTAATATTTCATGTTTTGTTTTTTACTCAAAATTATGTGGAATCATGTTATTAACATTAACGCTGTTCAGAATCATCTACAGAACATAAAGCACAGAACCAGGACTGAACCAGGACTAAACCTGGTCTAAACCAGGACTAAACCTGGACTGAACTGGAACTAAACTAGGACTAAACCAAGACTAAACTGGGCCTAAACAAGGACTAAACCAGGATTGAACCAGGACTGAACCAGGACTAAACCAGGACTAAACCAGGACTGAACCAGGACTGAACCAGGACTGAACTAGAACTAAACTAGGACTAAACCAAGACTAAACTGGGCCTAAACAAGGACTAAACCAGGATTGAACCAGGACTGAACCAGGACTAAACCAGGACTAAACCAGGACTGAACCAGGACTGAACCAGGACTGAACCTGGACTAAACCAGGACTGAACCAGGACTGAACCAGGACTAAACCAGGTCTAAACCAGGACTGAACCAGGACTACACCAGGACTAAACTAGAACTGAACCAGGACTGAACCAGGACTGAACCAGGACTGAACCTGGACTGAACCTGGACTAAACCAGGACTAAACCAGGACTGAACCAGGACTTAAACCAGGACTTAAAGGACCAGGACTGAAACCAGTCTAAACCAGAACTAACCAGGACTGAACCAGGACTGAACCAGGACTAAACCAGGACTAAACCAGGACTGAACCAGGACTGAACCAGGACTAAACCGGGTCTAAACCAGGACTGAACCAGGACTAAACCATGTCTAAACCAAGTCTAAACCAGGATTGAACCATGAATAAACCAGGACTACACCAGGACTAAACCAGGACTACACCACGACTACACCAAGACTAAACCAGGACTTAACCAAGTCTTAAGCAGGCCTAAACCTGGACTAATCTTGGACTTGAGAGAGAGAGAACCCCGAGCAAAGTCCACAAAGCGCGATTGGGAGACGGCTGCTCTTAGCTCTGTGGGACGCGGAGCCCTGCACCGCTCCTTTCACCTGTGGTCACTCAACAGTCTACAGACTCGTCCCGACACTCAGTCCTGGTTTAGTCCTGGTTCGGTCCTGGTTCAGTCCCGGTTCAGTTCTGGTCCCTCATGTCTCAGGTCATTATAGGACAGTACTGCAGATTTCATGAGCCTATCAGTTTGTTTTCACCATTGCCAATAGCTCCAGTTTGACATTGAACTTGAAGCTATTTTATATTTGTTATTTTTTTATATCTCACATTAACCTTCATTAGAATCATTTGGATCATTTCAGCCCTGAAATTCCCAATCTCTACTGGACAAAAGATGAAAAGGAGCTGTTGACTTGAAAATGACTGTTACATGACATCACCAGGTGGAACAGAGCATTGTGAGGTTTGGAGATGTAGACAGACTAATAATAAAGGATTACTCAGACATGTGTGAATGAAAAAAAAACACAACTCCAAGTCTGTTTTTGATGAGGTAACAACATTACAACATGGTTTAAAGCTCAAAAAGTCGTGATAGGATCGTTAATAATTTGACCAGCATTTTGGTAGACTTGATGTTTGATGTTTGTTTGATGTTTTTTTTTTTTTTTTTAGGTAGGTTACCGCAGTGTACTAGTCTGTGTTTTTCCAACTTGACAAATGGAACACAGAAACTCAGAGAACACGTTACTCCAAAGTCCAGTCTCCGAGCATAAATAACTTTATAAGAAACTTTAAAATGCTCAAAGCCTTTTCATGAGTTTCACAATGAGAACCAACGTTAAAGGTGCATTGTGTAACTTTTCTGGTGGAGGGCGTGTCACCTGCTTCTCTCCACAAAGACGTTTGTTGACACCACAGGGCAAAGTTACATGTCAGATCTGTGGAGAGGCAAGTCCACGCAAGAATCCAAGTTTTAAGGTCCATAAAAACCCAAGTTATCGAGTAAATACAAGCTGGATACATTTAATGCCACACTGGGACATTCCAAACTGAACAATAACATCTCCATGGAAACAAGCAGGTAGCAGATCCTCCACCAGAAAAGTTTCACAGTGCTCCTAGAATGGAAAAGTTCTCAAAAGCTGAAATCCATGTATATCTAGTCACTTATTTTCAGTTTTGGGAGTAAAGTGTTTTAAAAGTTACGAATTATTGTAATGCATGTCTTTTTGCTGTAACGCCGTAATGTTCAGCATTGGCAGGGTCACAATGCTTTTTTAACCTGGACTGAAGTGGTGGGTTTTTCGTTTTTCTTCATACAAACTCGTTAAAATCACTGCGATGTCAACAGCGGTGAAACGCCGGAGCTGCGCCCGTGTAGACCGTCGGGTGACTGCGAGTGAAAGGACCGACGCAGAACGCCGCACTCCACGTGACTAACCACAGCTGACGCTCGGGGTTCTCTCAGGAGCGGTTTTAGATTCCAAGTTCTAGTCCAAGATTAGTTCTGGTTTAGTTCTGGTTCAGTCCTGGTTTAGACCTGGTGTAGTCCTGGTTCAGTCCTGGTTTAGTCCTGGTTTAGTTCTGGTTTAGTCCTGGTTCAGTCCTGGTTTAGTTCTGGTTCAGTTCTGGTTTAGTACTGGTTTAGTCCTGGTGTAGTCCTGGTTCAGTCCTGGTTTAGACCTGGTTTAGTTCTGGTTCAGTCCTGGTTTAGTCCTGGTTTAGTCCTGGTTTAGTTCTGGTTTAGTCCTGGTTCAGTTCTGGTTCAGTCCTGGTTCAGCTCTGATTTAGTCCTGGTTTAGACCTGGTTCAGTTCTGGTTTAGTCCTGATTCAGTTCTGGTTCCTTCCTGGTTTAGACCTGGTTTAGTCCTGGTTCAGTCCTCGGTTCAATCCTGGTTCAGCTCTGGTTCAGTCCTAGTTTAGTCCTGGGATAGACCTGTTTTAGACCTGGTTTAGTCCTGGTTTAGACCTGTTTCAGTCCTGGTTCAGCTCTGGTTTAGTCCTGGTTCAATTCATATACGGCGCAAAAGTTCAGCATCTTCGCAGTTATTTTGGTGAGAGTAACTTAAAAGTGCTTCAATAGTCGTGTAATATTTTAAATTTTAAACACAGTAATATTATAACGTAACAAATTACTTTGAAATGACAGTAACACGTCATAAATAACACATTACAGTTTAAAGTCACTCGCCCAACAGTGATTATTTTCTATTTCTCCACAGGTTCCAGAGAAGCGTAATCCTGCTGTCACCGTTGGCGACGCACCCGTTAGTTGGCAAGCCCTGAAGCGAAGTTGGAGACTAAACCGGGTCTTAGCACTTCCAGGTTCAAGTCCGAGTACCAAGAACCAACCCAGGACTAACTTAGATCCCCCTGCATCCAAAACCTTCACCCAAACCTCCAACGTACCACAAGACAAGCCAGAACTTCTTCACAGGACGACTTTTGCAGACCCTTCGAGAGACAGTGTAACATTTAAAACACCACTGCAGAGAACTTCAAGTGTCCAACCCCTCAAAGCTTCGCACATCGACACAGCTTCTACCACGAAAACCGTAATTCCGGAAAACAAAGCCGGGTTTTCTTCCATCACAATCTCCTCGAGGAAGGTTTGCCGATCTTCCAGCCTTCCTCCGACTCCTTCCGCGAACCAAGAATCTATGGACTCTCGACGAATTATGGTGCAACGGAAAGCAACTATAGTGAAAGTGACCGAGCAAAGGGTGACGACTAGTCCGATTCACAGCGTAAAACCAGGTCTAAATCAAACGGCAAGTCAGAATCTGGATACGGTGGTCCACAGGAGAAAAGCTACAATCATCAAAGTGACGGAACATAGAGAAACTTATACTCCTAACGATTCTAGTCGGACCAAGGAGCACAGACATAGTTACACCGAAGGATTGTACAATGAAAACCGCACCTGGACGCAAGAAAATCACACAATCCCAAGTTCAAACCCCGTAGATTCAAAACCGATTCACAAATCTACGTTGAATCTTATGATAATGCCTCCACCCGCAACAGTCGCCCCAACAGCAAATTCGGAAATCACAAATGTAACGCCAAAAAGACCCCAAAGACCGTCGAGTTGCTACGGAAATGTTTTTGGGAATTCTGAGGGAGCTGATGATAAAAAAGTGCAGCCGCTCACCAGGAAATTGAGTTTTGATTCTTCGCAGAGAAATGGTTTTGGGAATCTTGCAAAGGCGAACGGGGTGAAAACGTCAGGACAATCGAAAAACACAGATGGAGAGATGGTGGTGCCTCCTCTGACGCTCATCAAGGCTCCTGGTAAGTCTTTTATAAATGATTCACGTGTGTTTTTTTTTGCAAATTTCCTTGAATTATTGGATTAATATTACAAATTTTTATTCATTGTGTAATAATAGCATTAAAATTGAGCAGTTTTTGCCACTAAAAAGAACAACAGTGGGCAGAATCGTGTTATATTATATCTCTCACCTCATTGTTTCCACAGTATGGCAAAAAAAATAAAAATCACACATTCTGACTGTGAGTAAGCTCGCCTCTCCACAGATCTAACCTGCAGCGTTTTAAGTTTAAAAGGCCCATATTACACCATTTTCTGATCTATGTTATAATGTTTCCTCATCAAAAACAGAGTTGTGTTTTGTTTCATTCACACGTTTACTATTAATATTTAGGCTGAGTTCTTTTCTCAAACAGAAAACACCCTGTTCCACCTTGTGATGTCATGTGGCAATCATAGACCGTATATATGAATTAATGTTGTCATCTCTGTCGTCTCTGTACCTGCTGCTGTGAGTCTCGTCATTTTGGTCTTAAAATGTTTGTATTAACTCGCTCTACATGATTCTGAATTTTTCATTTCGCTATTTGTTCCAAAATCAAGATATGAATATAAATAACGGACCAATCAGATGCCTTCATCCCCTGAGATCCCTCCCACTAGCGTTACAACAGGTTTGATTGACAGCTAGTGCTTTTCATTGCTAAGTAATTTAAATTAATTAGATATTATTTACACTATTTAAAGTTTTGATAAAAACATTTAACAACCTCAATCATGATGGTCAATGGTCACATCTTTCTGTAGCGCTTTTCCAGCTTCACAACAAGGAATCACTCACCCATTCACACACCAGACACTGTGGGCAAGGTGGGTTAAGTGTCTTGCCCAAGGACACAACGACAGCATTCATCTGTGGGAGCTGGAATCACACCAAGTCAGTGGATCTGACCGCTCAGCCTGTGATGTTTATGTCGAGAGCAGGATTTGAACCACCAACCTTCAGATCAGTGGGCGAATGCTCTACCAACTGAGCTACTGCCGCCCCAGGTTCAGTGATTCACTCTTGTGGTTGCTGTGGGAAATATTATGTGTTGGTCATGCTAATTCACCTAATATTATGGACTTTGGAATGACAACAGGGTGGAAAACACGTATGACTATCTATAGGTCTATATAACATGTTTTTTCTGTACTTTGAGTGCCATAAAGAACATGTTTTTCATGTGCCATAAAGAACATGTTTTTCTGGACTTTGAGATGCCACGAAGCAGAAAAACTGACATATGTGGACCCCGTGGCATGTTCCCACCCATGATAAGGTGTACTGGGTCAGCAGTATTGTTCATTTTCTTGCTGTATATGCTAAATCAACAAGTTAATGTTTTGTCAAGATGTAGTATAAAGCTACCCCTGATTTTGAGTTGGTCAGAGGCGTCGTTCCGGGGTGGCAGTTGTACTTGGTAATCAACTTGAATCTCTCTCAATGGAAATGCTGAAATAAAGTGGCCTGTTCTCTCGGATTCTCCATCTCCTGTGCTTCTTTTTAGGACACGCATTGAACCTTCCGAAAAAACCCACATTGCTATGATACTTGCAGTCGGATTTCCAAACATGGAGCCTGGGTCCAGATTCACTCCTATAACCGTTAGGATCGGGAGCTTCATTTGATGGGAGTTGACCACTGTGGGTGACGTCACACTCGCTTAGTCCACTTTTTTAAACAGTCTGTGGTGGCAATACAGGAAGTGCTCCACTATGTTTTTCAACTCTGTACACTTTCTCTAGCAATCACCAGTTTCAACTGAACTAAAAGTTAAAGGCCGTTAGCTTGAAAACTAGAGCCTCATGACCTCACAAGGTGGAACAGAGCATTTTGACCTTTGGAAATGTCGAGCCTGTTTACATGAGAACGCTTGTGGGTAAAAACGACAACATATTTTATTGGAAGTGCATTTCGTTTAAACGCTGACAGTGTTTTTGGGGCTTAAAAACACAAAAATCTGAAACCACCCTCCAGAGTGGAAAAGTTGAACACGCTCCTCCGTAGTGTTTCCGTCTACACTGCCCAAGACGCAAAACTCTGGTCAGATCTGCTCACGCCGCGTACACGTTTACGTCACATACATCACCACCTAGAGTCACCACCGAGCCGTCTGGCATGCATACACAATCAAATTCCACACACTTTTGCGTCACCATATTCACGCAGAATAATTCCTTCCGAAAACACTTGTCTAAAAGTGGAATAAAAAGTGAAGATGCAACGCCACTTTTGCGTCTTCTGTTCAGACCCTAATCGTATAAACGTAGCCATAGACAGACTTATAATTAAAGGTTGTATGGAGGATTTTTTGTTTTTGTTTGAAATTGTCATTGAAAGTTTAAAATACCATTACAGAGATGCAGCAGCCTTTTAGAAAAAAAAAAAAAGAAAGAATGAAAATCTATCAGTAGTGGACGTAGTGAGGCCAGATAAACATCAGCCAATAGAAAACGAGGCTCCCTCTTTTTCTATTGGCTGTTAGGTTGTCAGTCAAACTCCCTACATTTTTAGTGTAACTGACTCGCCGGCGCTCGGGGATTATGTGGTTTATGCGGCGGTTCTTTGAGGCTTTTTCAAACTGTAGCTTCCTCGCAATTCGCACAAAGTTTGTCGCGACGGCGGACGAGAATCCACGACCGGTTCGCCGCAAAAGAAAGTCCGAAGGGTCTAAAAAGTGACGCGTCGGTCGCTAAAATATTTCTAGGCAGGTCACTTCAACAGTAATTCTGAACACGCACTGGATGTAAACAAATGTGATTTCTAGAGTAAAGAGGCGGGAAGAGGAGATGTTTCTACTGAGGAAACATGCACAACATTTGAAAAAGGACGGTCGCTGTATTTCGCTTCCCTTAAAAAATCCTCTATACAACCTTTAAGTGTTACTCAAACATGTGTGAATGAAGCAAAACACAACTTCAGGTATGTCTGTGAAGAGGTAACATCATCAAAACATGACTTAAAACTCACAAGAATCCATTCTGTGTAATATAGGACCTTTAATGCCATGCTGTGGGACATTCCAGACGAGGCAGTGACACGTTCTGTCTGCGTTATTGCCTGAAAAGTGACATAGTGCATCTTTAATCAAAGCTGTCGAGATATTTTTCAGTCCCGTCTGAACTGGGTCACGTCCTACATAGATTTTGTTTCTGTGCATTAGTCAGTAGCATCCTTGTCACTACTTTTGAGAGGTTGTCTAAATATATTCTTGTTTTTGTTTATCTCTTCCCTTTGTGGACGTATTATGCATCTGTTATTTTCCTGACCTCATCCTCCTGACACTGTCTCTGCTTTGATGTGCTATGGGAGACATCACAAGACTGCGCTGAGAGTCTGTCTCTTAGTAACTGACACAAGGATCCTTTTTCTGTCGCACCCCATTCACTCATAGACATTTTGTTCGTCTCCCACTTGACATGTATAATGAAAAGACAGACGATTTTCAGCTAATATTGGACTTTATAGGTCTTATATTACGCAAAATGGACTCTTGTGAGCTTTGAGTTGTGTTGGAAAGGTGTTACCTCCTCAAAAACACACCTGGAGTTGTGATTTGTTTCATTCACACGTTTTTGAGTAATACTGCGTTATTAGTTGTTTTTTTTTTACATCTCCAAAGCTCAAAGTAGAGCCCTGCCAGGACTGAACCAGGACTAAAACAGGACTAAACCAGGACTGAACCAGGACTAAAACAGGACTAAACCAGGACTGAACTAGGACTAAAACAGGACTTAACCAGGACTGAACCAGGATTAAAACAGGACTAAACCAGGACTGAACTAGGACTAAAACAGGACTAAACCAGGACTGAACTAGGACTAAAACAGGACTAAACCAGGACTGAACCAGGACTAAAACAGGACTAAACCAGGACTGAACTAGGACTAAAACAGGACTTAACCAGGACTGAACCAGGACTAAAACAGGACTAAACCAGGACTAAAACAGGACTAACCAGGACTGAACTAGGACTAAAACAGGACTTAACCAGGACTGAACCAGGACTAAAACAGGACTAAACCAGGACTGAACTAGGACTAAAACAGGACTAAACCAGGACTGAACTAAGACTAAAACAGGACTAAACCAGGACTGAACTAGGACTAAAACAGGACTAAACCAGGACTGAACCAGGACTAAAACAGGACTAAACCAGGACTGAACTAGGACTAAAACAGGACTTAACCAGGACTGAACTAGGACTAAAACAGGACTTAACCAGGACTGAACCAGGACTAAAACAGGACTAAACCAGGACTTGAACTAGGACTAAAACAGGACTTAACCAGGACTGAACCAGGACTAAAACAGGACTAAACCAGGACTGAACTAGGACTAAAACAGGACTAAACCAGGACTGAAACTAGGACTAAAACAGGACTAAACAGGACTGAACCAGGACTAAAAGGACTAAACCAGGACTGAACTAGGACTAAAACAGGACTAAACCAGGACTGAACCAGGACTAAAACAGGACTAAACCAGGACTGAACTAGGACTAAACCAGGACTGAACCAGGACTAAAACAGGACTTAACCAGGACTGAACAGGTCTAAACCAGGTCTCAATCCTGGTCTCAGTCCCAGTCTGAGTCCCGGTTTCAGTCCCAGTCTGGTTCCAGTCTCAGTCCTGGTCTGGTCCCAGTCTGGTGGTCCCGGTTTCCTGATCACCCGACGCCTACGGGCATATCTCTGGGCCAGTCCTGACACTCCTGATTCATTCCTGGTTTAGTTCTGGTTTAATCCTGGTTTAGTCCTGGTTTAGGACTGAGACCGGGACCCGACCAGGACCAGGACCAGGTCTGGGACTGAGACTAGGACGGGAGCGGGTGGGTGGGATAATAAACCACAGTCCCGCAAACTAAATATGAGTGTAAAGTAAAATATACAAATGATTAATGTTAATGCCTGTCATACATCATCTGTACTGGATATTTTATTTTGCATTAATTAAAACATTTTAAGAAGTTTAAATTTGATACACAGGAAGGACGAAAAAGGAAAACTTTGACTGCCTAAAACATCCCGAGTTTGCAGCGAAGATTTTGTATGTGGAGCGCCATCAAAGCGAGATCCCATTTGTTAAGCGAGAGGTGCCAGAAGACAAACAGACTGAGCTCACACTTTCTTGTTCTTGTGACTTTACAGCAACATCACGTCTTGGTCACTTTGCAGTGGAAGGTGTTTCTTGGCGAACAGCTGGTGCTTTTCACTTTCATAACCAAGGCTGAGTGAGGGATCGGGATTTTGCTTTGATGACCCTCCATATACAAAATGTTCGCTGCAAACTCAGGATGATTTCTTAGGAAGCCAAAGGTTTCCTTTTTCGTCTTTCCTGTGGATCAACACTGCCCATCACCTTCGCCTTTCACTATTTTTCAATTCCATTGTGAAGGGAAACAGTTTAAATGGAGATTTGCAGTCACACACATCTGATTCCCTTTTGCATTTATGGAGATCGCAAACAAATTTCTCGAGACGTTTTCCGCTGTTAGGATCCAACAACCACACAATTACGATGTCCAAATCCCAAAACTAATATCAGAACCAGAAACAAAAGCGATATGTCTCAAAAGACTTGAAAAGATCGACTTTGTCAATAGAAGCATCCTACTGGGAAATCAAACATGGAGGTTTGATGCTCTCTTTTTCGGAAAATCCTTCCCAGTATGTATTGCGCGATGACCAGAAGTCCGAGATTCTTGATGCATCTATATTGTGAAACCATCCAGCCAAAACAATAATATCTCCATGGAAACAGGTTTGTGGTGCAACCCCTACTAGAAAAGTTACACTGTGCACCTATAAATCTTAACTTTACTACATTTACTTATCCCCATCTTCCATTTGGTCGCATAAGCTTCTGATATTTGCCATAAACAAATCATCATATTGTTAAAAACCTTTCTAGACATAACGAGGTCGTACAGTTACTTTGCTGTTTATACATATTACAGATTTGATGGTAAAATGTTTAAATACTTAACCACATAAGACCAGACTTTAAAATAGCCATCAGTGCATGAGGATCCTGTGTGTAATTTGCATTCAAACAGTGAGCGGAGACCTTTATCAGTCTGCTCCATATTTGATTTCCTCTACACTAGTTTTTATGTGTGAAATTATTCATTATTCTTTAATCTAATTCATTAAGAGTTTCATCAATTAATTACAGAGGCCCAGGGCTCCATCAGTTATTCAGCTTTGATACGGTCCACTCATCGCTGTGAGAGGTGTAACAGGTCATAGAGTACAGCAGGAGAAAGATTGGTTTTTAATGAGGCTGTGGACAATAAAAAAGTACATGCATTAAAGGCGCTGTAACCAATTTGTACTGTCTGGAAACAACACTCTGCATTGGTCCAAAGTTGCTCCTCACTTACCTGATGCATTATTCACCATGACCAGTTTGTAAGTGATTTTCACAACTGTCAGAGACCAGAGTGGGTAAAGCAACACGAACTAGCAAGCTAAACAAGCACCTCCTGATTAAAGGGCAATGAATCAGCACTCAAATAGGCTACGTCCACACGACAACACTCCTTGATTTTTTTTTTTTGTGGGTTGAAAAAAAATCGCGTCCACACATGTTTTGGATCAATAAATATTCACATCCAGACAACAATGGAGCACTGAGTGAACGGTATAAACGGTATAATACATCTGCCACACCTGTATGTGGCGCTGTTAACAATGATAATAATGTTTAATAATGCATATCTCATCACATTTTTTTTTTTTACTTTTAAGGTAATTTAACCTATTTTAGATGTACTTTATCCCAGAAGTAGAACCATTTTGTTTTGCAAAAGTTAAACATAAGTTTTCGTTTTTAGTCATAAGATTTGGATGAGAATTATTAGAATAACTTGGTCTCAAAACGCAACAGTTCCCCGTGCGTAATCTTTGTTATTGATCTGTGTGGGTAATCTGTGTGGTGCCTGTTGCTGGGCGACAGGAGCGGCTCCGTAGGCTACACCTGTCACATTTCGTCAATGGTCTTGTGGTCCGCGGAGGCTAGTTCAAGGGCTGCAGGTTTCGCTGCATCGGAGGACCCTGGCGATGACGGGGGCATGATGTCATCGTTTTCCAAAAGCTGCGGTTTGCTCGTCCACACGACAACACAACGCCGGTGTTCTCAGATTTCTCCACTCTGGAACCTGTTCTCAAAAAACACTGTTTGCTCCCACCCAAAACACCGGCTCTGTGTGGACGAAAGGCCAGAACGAATACAAATTTCATCATTTTGACCAAAAAACTAAGCCCTAAGACACATTTTCTCACAAATACATGCAGCAGATTACATTTCAAACCTGAGAAGAGAGAACAGACACACTGGGTACTGATACAACTACTTGCCTCAACACTGAAGGATGGATCAGATGCAGCATTGCCCATTGAGAACAAATCTTTTTTATAATAGTACCGACACTGTGCAGCTGATGTCATCCACATTCTCAGTGGATGTGAAACTGTTGGCACTGCTCTGTCTGAAGCTCTGTTACACAAGTTAGACTTAAACATGAGCAGTGCAGTGTTTTTATTACAGTGGTTCCTCTTTTATTGCGGGGGTTACGTTCTAAAAATAACCCGCAATAGGCGAGATCCGCAAAGTAGTCTGCTTTATTTTTTACAATTATTCTATCTGTTTTAAGGCTGTAAACCCCTCACCACACACTGTATACACTTTTCTCAGACAGGACAGTTACAAGCCTTTTTTCATCCTTCTTAAAACTTATTGCTGTCGTCCTTTTGTTATTTTCCTCCTTCTTTATGTAACAAACCGAAGATTAATTTATTTTGTAATGCACTACAGCCACGTAACTTCTACCTTCCTTCAGCGTGTCCAAACGTCCAACTTTTTGTGCGATGGTTTGCATCTTCCTCTGCCTTTTGGATGCGACGGCAGGAGCCTTTGCCGGTGCAGAACGTTTCGTCGACATTGTGGGTTTTGTCGGGGAGAAAACTTGCAAACATACAGCACTTCAGAATCACACTGCTAGAGATCGAACATTTATGTCAATTTGTCAAGCTGAACGCATTTTGTACTGTACAGGAGACACAGCATGAAGGAGATTTATTGACAATAGTCTACAGTCCTTAGCCAATCAGGACACAGGAGTAGGAACACAATGTGCATTCATACAAGCATACAAAGCATACAAAATTGCACACACAAAAAAAAAAAATCTGTGAAACAGTGAGGCCACGAAAGGTGAACTTCTCTCAAACATAACATAAATATGAGTATCCTATCAGATTTGGTGTTACTTTAGGGGGTTACACATTCAGAAATGCTCTTTCTCTCCTTGGGTCTTCTGTCTGCAAACTGCTGGCCCTAGCATCAAAACCGACCAATCAGATTGTCCCTTTGCAGTTGATTGACAGCAGCAGCTGCACTGGGGTAGTATCTCAGGCCTGTTGGCGCCAGATGTGGTTTAGTCTCACTTTTGACAGAGTTTGGAAGAAAAAAAGATTTCATTTGGATTTTCTTTTTGGACAAATACTGTGATTATTGTGATTGGTATCTTATGTCTTTTATAGTGTAGCATTATAAGCAGTGAGATTGTCAGTGTAGTCAACAAAAGCTCTAAATATTATGGAGAAATTGAAGTTCCCTCGGGATCAATAAAGTATCTGTCTGAATCTGAGCTTTATTTTAACACAATCAAATGACCAAAAAGAACTGAACAGAAAAGGCGACATGATTTGTGTTTGGGTAACTCCTAAACATTCCACCATTAGAGATACTAAATGTAGAACACCCCCAGCGTGATCTCCAGAGAATATCTTACAGCACATTCTTTGAAGCACATAGCGTTCTGAATCCACACTTAATTTGCTTTAAACATATTCACATAAAAGAGTACAATAAATCTGATCATAACTGTGTTTCAGATGCGGACCAAACTCCAGAGGACGTCCTGGCTCTGAACGCCGCAGCCATTATCGCAAACATCAAACTGCAGAGACAATTCAGCAAAAAGAAAACGCCAAACGGAAAATCTGAAAACCACTCTGCTCCGTCACCGCAGGAGAACTCTGGTAATGTCTACAGTTAAAGATCCTAAATTATGCAAACGTGATGCTCTAAAATGTTGTTACCTCATCTAAAACATACCAGAGTTATTTTATGTTTTGTTAGGATAAATAACTAGGCTTGGCTCTTTTGTATAACCACTTCTATAGTTCATTATTGTACCGAGTCATTTGAAGATAAGGGCTCTGTTCACAGCTGTGAGACTCATAGATAAATGTCAAGACAAATGCAGGATATTCCAATCTATCTAAAAGCAAACTAACTAAACATCACGAGAACTACTGATAGGGATGATGCCATGACTTGTTAGCCAGATAACACCCCGGATTGAGACCATGTTTACACCGAAATAAATCCACGTATCACCATATCGGAAATGATCTGTGTCCAGACACTTCGTTTCTGTGTCCGCAAGCCTTCCCTATCCACACAGCTTTGAGCATATTTGTTTACGTTTTACGGAAACGAAACTTAAAACCGCACGGCTCATTTGCATAAACTAAATGCTCGAAAAACAGCTCACTATTGGGCCCTGACGTGGTTCAGCTTCTGTCGGACTAAAGGACACGACTCACGTGGATTATAAGTGTTCTTTCTGTGACAGAGGGATGTTCTGCTGATGGTGAGTCTGTTCTGTGTTTCTATCGTGTTGGAGATGATTCATGTTAAACTTTTCAGAGATTATACGTCTGCAGGTCGTACGCACACAACGTATATATCAATGGACATATATTCCAGCCTCTTAGCGTTTTGGCGGTGAAGTACTTCGCGGCGCACAGACCTACATCAGTGTTTTCAGGCGTCCACACAGTGCTGGATCAGATCCATACTCAAATGAATTCGTGGGAGCTGGCGGCACCAGATCGGTCCGTCTCTGGAGTCGTTTTCCATCAGATTAGTGTGGACGAACACTGCATCCACAACAAAAACGACTCAAATATGTATTAGTGTGGACGGGGCCCGAGTCTGATTGGACTGTCCAACGTTCCAACAGGCCTGGCTGCTCCGTGCACCAACGAAGAGGCGCTAAGTCTAAGGCTGAATCCCATTACACCCCCTGGCCATACCACTTTCCCAGTTACTGTTACGGCAGAGGGATAGGGGAAAGTGATAGGGCTATTTCCACCTCCAAACAAAGATTTTTCAGAGGCACACTCCAAACAGAGGGGTATGAGCAATTTCCCAATTACCGGCAAGATGACTGCTACCACGACCACAGATACCAAAGAATACACAGTTGTAGACGGTTGTTGGATGTTGGATTTCTGACAAAAGCTCATCACGTCTTCTTACTTAAAAGCTGGCGGAGACTACTGATGATGTATGAGCTGTTTTTGAGCCTAGGCATGCGACTTTAAGTTTCATTTCTGTAAAACGTAAACAAATATGCTCAAAGGTGTGTGGACAGGGAAGGCTTGCGGACACAGAAACGACGTGTCTGGATGCAGATCATTTCCAATATGGTGATACGCGGATTCGTTTCAGTGTAAACGTGGTCTACGTTCCACAGAGCCTTCAGTTCCGAGGCTGAAATGACCCAAATTATGTGAAGAGTGAAGAAGTATGGAGTTTAAAAACACACTGGGGCACTTCCTGTATTCCCGCATGACATCGCAAAGTGGAACAGAGTGTTTTCCATTTGATAGAAGACAGAACTCAGCCTTAAAATGCAGGATTTGTGCGTTTAAACATGTGTGAATGAAACAAAATACAACTTCAGGTCTGTTTGTGATGAGGAAACATTATAACATAGATCAGAAAATACCGTAATACGTGGCCTTTAACTTTTTATTGGTAATACAAATTAAGAAATAATTATACAGAGCAACGTAATTAAAGTTCAGACATATTTTTATCTAGTCAATCCAATTTTATGACCTACTATTTCCACTGTTACTTCCTTTGTTACTACAAGCCCTCTGTAAACTATGCAGGGATGCACTCAGACCAAACATAAACTGTTTATTTACATCTCTGTTGTCATAGAAACCGATGCCCAGGACTCCGTGAAGGACGATAGCAGCACGAACAAATCACACGCTGCTGCCTTCGTGCCTTTGAGCAATGACATTCAGAGACCAGCGCAGAATGTGTCTCTACAGGTGAAGTTGTTTTAGCCCGAGAATTGAGATTGTACTGTATAAACAGGTCTTACTGAGAATATTTATCCCTGTGAATGATAAATAAGTTTGTTTCTTAGGGTTTGAGGTTGAAGTTGTCCAACATATGTCAGTAAGTCAACACATTACAGCGCCCCCTGCGGGATTTTTGGATGCACAAACATAAGGGCTCATTCTAATTTACTTGTTTTTTTGTTTTCGTACATGAGCATCATTTTAAAGTCGAACAACGTAACTTTTCTGGTGTAGGGTCTGTCACTTGCTTGTCTACATGGCGATTTAATTGCTTTGCTTAAAATGTTCTAGCCAATTTGGCGCCACCTAGCCTGATTTCATGTTGGTTCACTTCGTAGAAACTGTCTGACCTCACAGCATTAGGATTCATTGGTAGGTGGGTACTTTTTTTATTTAACTAATCGCTGCTATTTGGTCGTGACGTATGTAATGTGCCGCTAACGGAGCTAACTGGCATATTAGGCTTTTCCCAAATCCCGTTGGAAGAAGGACAATAACGTCTTTCCCCTTGATAAAATTCACCAAACATTCTCTTTGTTCCGGCTTTAAATCCTCGATCTCGGGAATCGTTGCCAACACAGAATGTCTGTCTTCGTCTACATCCGTCTCGACCGCTTTGTTTACTGTCGTGCTGAACCACAGAAGGGACACAGACAGACGCTTGAGTTTGACATCATGGCTTCACAGCTCTTCACTGATTGGCTGGTGCCCGAACTCGCACTTCTGGGGATTTTGCGAACCGTCTATTGTATTCCGATTCCTGACCTATTTGCTGGAGAGAAATTAAATTAAACACTAGACGATTTGCAAGAACCCCGGAAGTTGTAGACCGCACATCAGCCAATCAGAGAAGAGCTGTGAAGCCATGACGTCAAACTCAAGCGTCTGTCTGGGTCCCTTTCGTGGTCAGACATTCTGTGTTGGCAACGATTCTCGAGATCGAGGATTTAAAGCCGGAACAAAGAGAATGTTTGGTGAATTTTATCAAGGGGAAAGACGTTATTGCCCTTCGTCCTGTGGCGCATTACATACGTCACGACCAAATAGCAGAGATTGGTTAAATTTAAAAAAGTACCCGCCTACCATCGAGCGAACGAATCCTAATGCTGCGAGGTCAGATGGTTTCCATGAACGGAAACAGGCTGATGGATCAGGCTAAGAATGTTCCACAATAAGGCATTAATCTTGTCAGTATCTATGGATCAGATCAAGTTTAGTGGAGATATATGTGGAAAGGGAACCTCCCTCACAAAAATCATGTTTTTTAAGGCTCACTACACATATGTAATTCTATACATGCAAGATAGATGTATGTATGTAATGCCATACTGTGGAACAATTAAAGGTGCATCGTGTAACTTTTCTGTTCGTAATGTAGCCAGTCCATTACAGTGTTTCCCAGTCTTTTTTTCTGGGGACCCGTATTTTAAAAGTCACAAATCTTCACGAACCAAGTCAACAGATATTATTCATAAATCACAAAATAAATTTGTGACAGTTATTGAACATTAATGAGGATATTTTATTGTTGACTAAGTGATCGTTTCTCTCTGAACAATTAGTATTACTCAAGTTTTAAACATTGAATTGAACATTGAAATCATTGAAGCAGCAATAAAAGGATCCATAAGTCGCCTATTTGTACATTAAATTTAGCCCATTTCTTTTTCTTTTCAACATTCAATTGAACCAGCAATACTGGAACAAAATAGTCAATAAAATAATTACAAAAGATTAGAAATTATACAAAACATGTCTTAACATGTCAACATTTCTAATGAGACAGGTGGGTCTGTCTGTGTTTTTGTAGCACGTTCCAGGCAGGAGGAGAGCGCAGCAGCAGATCAGACGCAGCACTCAGTCTGTTTCTGTGGTTTGTCTTCATTTTTGTGAGCACAGAAAATCCAAATTCACACATGTATGTAGTAGTGAAAGGAATACAGTGAACATAGAAATACTGGCCCTACTGAGGACAGGATATTCTGATCAAATGCTTTTCCACAGTGACGATAAGGTCACAGATCCATGTAAACAACTCTCTATTTCAGACCGACATGCAGATCGTGACAAGACGACCCAAAAATCGCTTGTGACCCACCTGAGGGTCATGACCAATTTGCAATTTTGGTTGCAGTGTTACACAGGTTATAACGTTATAAAGTTACGAGTCAAATCTGTGGACCGGTAAGCCAACTCATGGTAGAGAATGAAATGAAAACACCCGTAATTTAACAGAAAAAGGCTGTTTTGTTCGCAAAAACAGTAATCAATGTTTCCCACAGAAAACTGGTTAGGCAAGACTCTGCTACCAAAAAAGTGAGCGGGGGGAGGGGAACACGGAGATTCCTTGCACAGAGAAGGAGTGAGGAGCGGGGAGGGGTGCAGAGAGGAGAAAAAGTGAGGAGCGGAGGTGCGTGGAGATGTATTTATATGTATATTGCAAATCAACATGCAGATCGTGACCCAAAAAATATCTCTTGCCAGTCTTTCGGAAACAATGGTCTGTTATATAGGCCTGGCGCCAGCTAACAGGTGATATAAAGACAGAAAAAAATGCAGAGTTTAAAAATGTTTATTGATAATTGATTAAAAATGTGTTTCGGTGAAGTGACCTGTAAAAGAAAGTGAAACAAGTAAATGGAAGAAGTGCATTTATTTTAGGAATTGTGAGCAAAATGAATTACCCTCTTGTTGTCTGCCTCAAGTGTTCCGGCGAAAAGAGTCCCCAGGGAGCCGGAGCACCGTAAGAAGTTTCCAGGACAGGCAACCATTTTGTTAGGAGGAGGGGTCATGAAATTGAAATTGAATCTATTAAAATAAGTGTATAGGGTGTTGCTGCTTGCATAGACTGTATATATGAGTGGACATAAATAACGCACTAGCCGCCGCGTGCCAGATAGGAAGTGCTCCATGTGGCTCTTCCGGCTCCTTCTGACCCTGGCTCCAATTGACTTACATTTGGATTTTGTGACTCCTCACTCTGTAACTGCTGCTGTGAGCCTCGTCATTTTGGTCTTAAAATGTTCGTATTAACCAGCTCTACAATATCCTGAATTATTTTTTTTGCTATTTTGTCGTATTCTTAACATACTAGACCCCGGCTCCAGATTCACTCCTGTAACCATGAGCATCCCGAGCCTCATTTGAACGGCGCTGAACGCTGTGGGTGACGTCACCCTCATTTAGTCTGCTTCTTTTATACAGTCTTTGGTTGCTTGTAGCTGCCTCCAGTTGACGTCGTGGAAGAAATTCCCTGAGCTAAGACAGGATTTGTGTCTTAGACCGCAATGTAATCACAAACTGCTCGTGTTTGACTGACAGGGCACCTACAACTTTTCAAAATGTGTCGTGAGTTTTTACCTATTTTCATAACATAAACATTTTCTCCACTGAAAATCCTTCAGTTGTCTTAAAAAAACAGTCACCGGAAGTACCTCGCCAGGCTAAAGGTGCATGCACCATCGTACGGAAGCCGAGAGGTGTCACAACAAACGCAAACGCCACAACAAATACAAATGCGACAACACAACAAAAAGCCACAACACACCAAAAAAAAAGCCACAACGGAAATGACCGCGGGGACTCTATTTTAATGCAAACACCGCAACAAATACAAACGCCACAACACCAACGCAAATGCCGCGACACATTAAAAAGCCGCAACACATTAAAAAGCCACAACAGAAGTGACCGCAGAACTCTATTTTCCGACGGACCAATCAAGCAGCAAGTGGAGAAGAAGAAGAACTACAATGCATGAAACGTATAATGATAAAACAATAAATTACTTTTACTTACGTTTCCAACTTCTCCGTTCCTTTACTTTTCACATTGTAGTTCTTCTTCTTCACTTGACGCTCGATCGGTCCGTCGGAAAATAGAGTCCCGCGGTCACTTCCGTTGTGGCTTTTTAATGTGTTGCGGCTTTTGTATCTGTTGCGGCATTTGCGTTTGCTGTGACCCTTCTCGGCTTCCGTACCATTGAGCTCGGCCATGGATCTATTAAAATACCTGGATAGGGTGTTGCTGCTCGTAGCTGCCTCCAGTTGACGTAGTGACACTCACTGGTACTACAGCGGAAAAAATCCCCTGGGCCGAGACGGGATTTTTCTCGTAGAGCGCAATGTAATCGCAAACTACTTGTGTTCGTCTGACAGGGCACCTACAACTTTTAAAAATGTCAGATTTTGTGGCGATTTTTACCTATTTTTAGATTATGAACTTTTTCTCAGCTCAAAATCCTTCAGTTGTCTTCAAAAACGCTTTATAATCGTTCGCTCCACTTCACTCGAGCTCCTCTCGCTCTGATTGGTCAAAGCAATCACATGATACACTACTGCACATGCTCAATCAGCTCAGAGCCACCGGAAGTATCTCGTCGGGCTAAAGCCGAATCTGGAGTCACGTACCACTGAGCTCGGCCCACTGACTTGAATGAACGGCCATTTTTGAACACTTTTCTATTTAGTATTTTAAAATTAATAAAACACAGGTAAATTAATAAAGATATATATGTTTCTATTCTGAATATTTGAGCTCTGTTTTTGATACAGCAAACTTTTGAACACTGAATTGAAATAATCTGTATTTACCTGCAGTTTGAGATGAGCTCACCCAGTTAAAGGAGGCGACCTATAAAAGGAACCAGCCTCACCTTTGTCCAGAGAAGGTTCTGTGTGTGGGTGCAGGTTTTGCCAGGCTTCTTTTTCACTTTTGGACTTTTTGTAAATATTTTTCAGTTTTTTTTTTTTCTTGGTTGTGGAATAAATGATGCACTTTGGGTCTGCAGGAAAAATCTGCTCAACTCGACCCCTAAGGTTGCTCGCTATTATATTGGTGGATGTTATTGCTTTGTCTAAAATGTTTCACAGTTTGGCATTAAATTGTTCTAGCTTCATGGTGACAGAACAAGGGCAAGTTACAGGTCAGATCTGTGGAGAGGCGACCCCGCTCACAGTCAAAATGTCTGTTTTTCTAAGTATTTTTGAGCTATAAAACCACCTGTAATTGAATAAATGTAAAGTAGAGCTGTTTAATGTCATACTGTGGAACATTTGAAGCAGAGCAATGGCGTATCCATAGAAACAAGCAGGTGACGGACCCTCAAACGAAAAGTTACGTAGTGTATAGGGATGTAAGTCTCACAATAATACCGGGGCTGACACAATATATTGAATTAAATCAAAAATAAAAAAAATACAAATTCTTTTGCTTAAATACATTGTTTTATAGTAGCAACAGCTTATAAACATTGGGAACTACATATCCCATGATTCATTTCAGCGCAGACAACATGAAGAAATACCGTATTTTCCGCACTATAAGGCGCACTGTCATTGAAAGGTCTATTTTTGAACTTGTTTCACATATAAACCGCACCGGACTGTAAGGCGCATTAAACGAAACACAACAGTTAGATAAGTCAGTCAAACTTAATTTAACGCGTTCCATTAACTCTCAACTTTGTTCAATTTGCATTTTAACTTTATAATAGCCTTGAGTTTAAAGTGGGCATTGTAAGCATGTCTCTGGACAGGTGCATTTTGATATTGAAAGGAATCACAGTATGTATTACTACGCGATGCTCCGTAATGCTGTAAGTGGTGCGGCTTTGTAGTTTACTAAAGTCGTACTAAGGCTACATTCAGACTGCAGGACTTAACGCTCAATTTGGATTTTTTTGTGAAATCCGATGTTTTTGCGAGGTCGTTCACATTTCCAATTAAATGCGACTTGTATGTGACTCCAGTGTGAACATTAAACGGCCCAAAAGTGTCCCACATGTGCACTGGAGACACGACGACGTCAACCGCAGCGAGCGTCTCTGTGTTTACGGAAGTTGTCCAAACATGGACGCGAACATTGAGCACCTGGAGATTTTAAAGTTCCTCTCGTACCGGAGCCAGAACATGAACAACTTACTTGTTTTAAAGAGGAGATTGAGAAGGAGAAGGACGAGGTTTCTGGCCGTGGTGTTTTGTGGGTCAGTCCGTTGAAAGGAACGTGTGGACGCGGAGACGTAGCCAAGATTGGTCAATTTTCGCCTACTTCAGTGCAGAATAGTGACGTTTGTGGCTTGTTGATAACCTGTAGGTGGATGAATGCGCTTTGGCCGTTCAGACTGAAGTCAAAAGATCAGATATGTATCAGTTTTAGGACCACATATCGAAATGGCCTGGGTCACACTTGAAAAAATCTGATCTGTGTCATTCAGACTGTCATTAAAAGATCGGATACAGGTCACATAGGGGCCAAAAAATCGGATTTGGGTCACTTCAGGCTGCAGTCTGAACGTAGCCTATGACACCGAATAAATTCATATATAAGGTGCTCTGGATTATAAAGTGCGCAGTCGTTTGTTGATGAAATTAAAGGCTTCTAAGTGCGCCCTATAGTGTGGAAAATACGATATGTTTTTACTTAAATTCTTGGGATTATGACGGAAATAATTCACACCAAAATCTTGCCAGGGTGTTTAAAAGACAAAAGACGCAATAAATATCATACAGTGAGATGCATATTGTGACACTGAGAGATTTGGATTTAGTAGTGAACCTTTTTGACGTGAAGAAAAGCAGGTAGAGGAAAATTTACAGGCCGAATGCAAATGTTTCCTAATGCAGTTTAAAAGGTTTCTTAGCTATGAATTATGAAGGACATTTAACGAGTAAGCAATAAAATTAGAGCGAGCAAAACATAATTACAGCACAATTAAATAAAAGCTATTTAGTGTAAGTTTTTTCAGATCTTTTAGTTCACGTCCTCAGCCTCAGCTTCGCACAGAACAGAAGCCGCAGTGTGAGGTGTAGGAGCGGCTCGTGTGGTCATAAGGTTGCGGGTTGTGTAATCGCTAATGGACTGTCCCACCGTGACAGGAGGCTCTGCTCAGGTCTCGTCCGGACTTCGTCGCTCGGTCCAGACGCAGGACTGAGGAGCTGGAGAGGAGGGCCCAGGAGAGGAGAGACCAACTGAGGAGGGGGGCCCAGGCGAAGAGACGGGGCAGTGCTCACTCAAGACAGCCCCAAAGCAACAGCTGTCCAGGGATAAATGCGAAGGGTAAGAAGAAAGATACTGGTGAAGTCCTTTTTAGTTAATTATTGGTTTATTTATTTCATTCATAAAGTATTAAAAAGATATCAACAGTGTCACAACAGCAAACATACAAGAAATGAATGAAAAGGAGCAGAAAGAAGAGTTATGTTCTCTGCCCCCTTTTCCCTTTTTCAGACAAGACATCAACATTGAGTTACTTTAAAACATTTAATCAGTTACAACACTGGTTTTTATGTGTTTTTTAAATGCCGTTGTTGTGCTTGATTCTTTTATATCTTTGCCAAGACTGTTCCATAAGTTGACTCCTTTCACAGGCTCCATAACCTCGGTACCGAATCTGGGTTTTTTAAACTTGTAGGTTCCTTTTAAATCATAGTGGCTTGTTCTCAGTGTTGGGAAGGTTACTTTTAAAATGTATTCCCCTACAGATTACAAATTACATACCCCAAAATGTAGTTTGTAACGTAATCCATTAAATTACTTAAAGTGAGTAACGTAATCTGAATACTTTGTATTACTTGATATTGTCGTGCTTTTGAAAACAACATGAATGTAACAACCACATCCTGAAAATTCTTGTTTGTTCTCTTCAAATTGTCTGTTGAGCCCAAATCTCCATGAACAGACAACTGTTTACTGTAGAGAAGTAAAGACCAGGAAATCTTAACATGAGATATTTGTTTTGTCTGCTAAAAGAAAATAAAAAGCCCTGTCTTTACTTAAGCATTTTAAAAATATTATTGATAGAGAAATAATTTATATATGAAATCACTGCTGCCTTAAATTATGTCCACCTACTGTTAGGTGTCATATTGTCTAAACCAGGTTTAGTCCTGCTTTTAGACCTGGTTCAGTCCTGGTTTAGACCTGGTGTAGTCCTGGGTTTAATCCTGGTTTAGTCCTGGTTTAGTCCTGCGTTTAGTCCTGGTTTTAGTCCTGCTTTAGTTTTAGTCCTGCTTTAGTCCTGGTTTTAGTCCTGGTTTTCCTGGTTTTAGTCCTGGTTTAGTCCTGGTTTAAGTCCTGGTTTTAGTCCTGGTTTAGTCCTGGTTTTAGTCCTGGTCCCTGGTTTTAGTCCTGGTTTAGTAGTCCTGGTTTAGTCCTGGTTTAGTCCTGGTTTTAGTCCTGGTTTAGTCCTGGTTTAGTCCTGGTTTAGTCCTGGTTTAGTCCTGGTTTTAGTCCTGGTTTAGTCCTGGTTTAGTCCTGGTTTAGTCCTGGTTTAGTCCTGGTTTTAGTCCTGGTTTAGTCCTGGTTTAGTCCTGGTTTAGTCCTGGTTTAGTCCTGGTTTAGTCCTGGTTTTAGTCCTGGTTTAGTCCTGGTTTTAGTCCTGGTTTTAGTCCTGGTTTAGTCCTGGTTTAGTCCTGGTTTTAGTCCTGGTTTAGTCCTGGTTTAGTCCTGGTTTAGTCCTGGTTTAGCCAAAATGTGAAAACAGGAAAATACCGCCGTGTAATCCATTTATTTCAACAAAGTAACTGTAATCCAATTACTACTCACTGAAACAGTAACTGTAACTGAATACAGTTACTCATAAATTGTACTCTGATTACCTAATCCCAGTTACATGTAATCCGTTACTCCCCAACACTGCTTGTTCTTATCTCAAACAGACTGCATATTTACAGGTAATACATCACGCTTTGCTTTATACGTGGCTTTGAGGAGACTTAAGTCAACAATATCCTGCATTTTTAACACTTTAAGTTGAACAAACATTGGGTTGGACGGCTTCTGTAACGTTGGTGATAATTCTCAAGGCCCTTTTTTTGTAAAATAAACAATGGCTGTAGGTGAGTTTTACATGTTGACTCTCAAATTTCTACACACTACATCAGATATGGTGCAATTATAGAGTTATACAAAGTTAATAATGCTGCACTATTTTGTGAGAACTTTACTTTATGCAGCAACAGCAATGGCTTTGGAAGTTTTGCATTTAGTGTAATTTATATGAGACAAACTCCAGTTTAGATCTTCATCAACCATAACTCCTAAAATCATCTTATCATTAAATAAAATGAAATGTGTTTTTTTTTTTTTTTTACATTAAGAATCAAATCAATTTAAATCAAACCAATATTTTACTTTTCTTAGCTCTTCGTTAGCTTTACTTTTGACTTCTTTTATGTCTTTTCCAGAGTAAAATAATGTTGTGTCATCAGCAAATAGAATTTTCCCAAGCTCAGAAACTTTAACAAAATTTTTAGTTTAGTCTTTGTTTCAAGAGACAATACAGAGACATTAAAGGTGCATTGTGTGTTTGATTTACAGAAATAAGTTAAAGGTTGTATGGAGGATTTTTTTTTGTTTCAAACTGTCAGTCAAAGATTAAAATACCATTACAAAGACGCAGCAGCTTTGTAATTATGATGACCAAAAAAAAAAAAGAACGAAAATCTATCAACTGTGGATGTGTTGAGGCCAGATAAACATCAGCCAATAGAAAACGAGCTCCCTCATTTTCTATTCGCTGTTAGGTTGTCAATCAAACTCCCTAGTATAACTGACTCGTCGGAGCGCGGGGATTACGTGGTTTACGCAGAGGTTCTTAGAGGCTTTTTCGAACTGTCGCTTCCTCGCATTTTACACAAAGTTTGTCCGACGGCGGACGAGAATCCACGACCGGTTCGCCGCAAAAGAAAGTCAGTTTTTGAGGTCGCTGAAAGAAGAAGAGAAGTGGAAAAGAAGCAAAGCCAAACTGAGGTGATTCTTGGAGATCTCGTCCAGCGATGGCGCGACCGAAGCAGGCGAAGGGTCTAAAAACTGACGCGTCAGTCGCTGAAATTACTTCTAGACAGGTCACTTCAACACTAATTCTGAATGCGCACAAGGACTGTCGCGGTATTTCTCTTCCCTTAAAAAATCCTCTATACAACCTTTAAATGCAATTACATCCAACAAACACTAATTCACACTGTCCACTCTCAGACCCATACTCAGTCACACTAAACTGCCCTACAAAGGCAAAAGACCTTAACTCTCCAGAGTGTGAAACTGAGAAAAATGACTTCAAATTTTTAGTTTTGTCCAGACAAAAGTAAAATAGGTAGGGCTCCCAAGATTTGACGACTTGCAAGCGCTTTGTGTTGCATTTTTGTATGAAAAATGCTCTACAAATAAAGTTTGTTGTTGTAGTTGTTGTTGACTAGCTGCTATAATGAAGAAATATTTGTATGCGAAAAATATTGAGCTCAAAATTGCCCTTTCACCCTTATTTGTCAGTTCCTGTGCTCTGCCTTTGTGTCACGAGATAAAAATAAGGAGTTGTGCAAAGGCAAAACTGACATGAACATTATTTGCTTGATTTTCACCAGACTTCCATCCTTTATAAGAACCTCACCAGGGTCTAATCGTCTAGTCAGGCTGGTGCCACCTAGTGCCTCCGCTCAATTTAATTTCTCTCCAGCGACTAGGTCAGGAATCAGAATACACTAGACTGTTTGCAAGAACCCCAGAAGTGCGAGTCCAGGCACCAGCCAATCAGCGAAGAGCCAAATATTCTGTGTTGGCAACGATTTCCAAGATCGAGGATTTAAAGCCAGAACAAAGAGAATGTTTGGTGAATTTTATCAAAGGGGAAAGACGTTATTGTCCTTTTTCCTACGGGATTTGGCGAATTACATACGTCACAACCAAATAGCAGCGATTGGCTAAATAAAAAAGTACCTGCCGACTGTCAAGCGAACGAATCCTAATGCTGCGAGGTCGGACGGTTTCCACGAATGAATCAGACCACAAATCATCATGGTGTTTGTTTGAAATGATACAGAAGAGCTTTGGATTTGCTGTTTAGTGCTGATCAGGATCGTGTCCCAGCGCTTACACAGTTAAACAGTTTGACAGACAAGTTACTTTGCAGTATAGTGTGTACAGTATGAATAAATACACAAAATATTTTCAATACAAAGGTAGATTTATTTAATGTGTTGAGACCATGTGCCAAGGCCGCAACAAAAAGAAGGAGGTGAGACGTTGGATTTTAAAATAAAATATATTTATGAACAAAATCACAAACAAAACATGCACAGTTTCTGCTTTTTGCTTTTGCACGACTCTTTATTTTTGACTCATGATACAAAAGCAGAGAATAGGAACTGACAAATAAGAGTCAAAGGTCAATTTTAAGCTCAATATTTTTCACAATATTTATTCACATGATAAAGGAGGTCTCAAATACAAACAAAATGACATGAACTTATTTTTGACCAAACATGATGTTACGACGTTCTGCTTTTGTAGTGCCGTATATTAAATGTACAGCACAACCACACCTCAGTCATGTCACGATGATCTGTTACTTAATTCATGAAAAATAATTCAGTATGCTGAGAAATCTATACGAAATACATTTGATAGAAGTGGTTTGTAATTGGAGCAACTTGGGACCTAATTTATCTTTTCTCAGTTCAATCACTAGTGTGTTTGATTATTAAACCTGACCTATTATACTGAGTGTCAAAACAGGATTAAATTTAATAACTGCACAAGTATTTTGATTGAATAAAAGCCTAAAAAATGTCAAAAAAGTGCACATTTCAGCTAAAAATATGGTCATCATCTTCTTCTAATGGCCGATTGGAGCTGTTTCTAACTAATATTATCATCTGAAACACTGATTTTATTATTACTGATATAGTACTACCACTTTCCAACCTGTTTGTTTATGATGTTCAGTTCAGTTTAGTAGATTTAAATAGATTCATCAGAAGGACATAGTGATTTTATGGTGTACTCTGCCCTCTAGTGGTGTGATCAGGGAAGTACAAGTGTCAGAAATCCCAGCAGTTGTTTCTATTGAAGGAATTTATTACTATTTCATGTCTGTATGCAACATTTTATTCAGAGACAGTACAATGCGAAGTAAATGTAAAGTTATATGATGTGTTTCAGATCATTCTTTAAAATCCAGCAATAGAAACGTCACAAAAAGACAGCAGCCTCCATCCAAACGGTGAGTTTTCATGGTCATTGCTTCTACCTTTTTTATTTAACATGTTAAAACTTATGTCTTTCTGTATTTAATTATCCATCTATTATTATATTTTATACTTTACTTATTACAGTGGTGTAGCAAGAATTTTTAAGTAACTTTTATTTAACTAGAAAAGAATAATTTGAGGTTTTGAAATGTTAATTGCAACAAGAGCAAAGTTAAAAAGACACACAAGTAAGTAAAGATTTGCTTTAGATGAGCTTTAATTACAGTCCTTTTCTGCAGTGATATATAAATAGATTTTCTTTCTTCTCTTGGTCTAAAGGAGGAGGGCTTGTGAGCTCTTGTACATGTTCACTGTGAGGAATTATATCGTGGAAGTCTAAGTTATGTTTTTACCTGGTGCGGAGTTTAGTTTGTTTACGTGGTTCTTGCCGTCACAGGCCCTCGGAGGTGAAGAGGAGACAGCAGCAGCAGCAGGAGGAGGTGAAGAGAGAAGCCGGTTTGAACAGACAGAGGGCTGAGCTGTTTAAAAAGGTTTGTTATTTTAAAGATCCTATATCACGCAAAATGGACTCTTGTGAGCTTTAAGCCGTGTTAGAATGCTGCTAACTTCAAGAGGAAATAAAACTGTTACAAAATATAAGTAACATGAGCCATATTTTCACAATGAATGTATACAGCATAAAGAAATCAGAGCACACTGGTAAAACATTTGCATTTGTTACTTTAAGAATGTTGTTTTTTCTGTATTTTGCATGTATTTTAAAGGTCTTATATAATACAATATGAACTCTTGTGAACTTTAAGTCATGCTATTTTTTTTAATCAGTTTTATTTTTTCCACAATGTTAAATTATAATCGCACAAAGGTATACATTTATACGTACATGTAAATATGTTCATACAATTGACATATATTTGGTTTGCCCATATATGTTTATCCAGGCTGGCGCCACCTAGTGCCTCCACTCAATTTCATTTCTCTCCAGTGGCAAACTAGGTCAAACATAAGGAAATTTAATCTGGAATACTATCTACTAGATGGTTTGCAAAAACCCCAAACGAAAGTCGAAAAGTTCAGGCAACAACAGACCCAGTTCATGTTAAAACATTGCATTTTTTCTCATAAATATGTAAAAGCTGTAATAGACATATTTGAACTTATTGCTGTTTTTGGGGTTTATATGGAGTTTCTGATCCGGCCCACAAAGATTCTTGAGACTGAGGATTTAAAGAGCCGAAACAAAGAGAATGTTTGGTGAATTTTATCAAGGAGAAAGACGTTATTGCCCTTCTTCCAGGATTCGGGAAAAGCTTATTATACCAGTTACCTCTGTTCGCGGTGCATCACATACATGACGAGCAAATAGCAGCGATTGGTTGAATGACAAACAAGCACCCGCCTACTGTCGAACGAACGAATTCCAATGTTGCGAGGTCAGACAGTTTCTATGAAGTGAAACAGGCTGATGAATCAGGCTAATATGTGTTAACTGTGAAAAAAAGCATGGACTCCCAAAGAAGCTGGGAAGTTTCCATCACCACAGCGTTGATAATTTAGTGGCTTGACAGGTTAAGTTTTTGGTTAAAGTACAACAACAGACAAGACAATCAATTAATAATAATAATGATAATAATAAATGCAAAAAAAACAAAAAAAAAAAAAACAAAATAAATTAAAATAAGTGAGACAGTAGAAAAAAAAATAAAAATAATATAATATATATGTTATAATGCTGCTGCCTTCTCCAAAACATACCTGGAGTTGTGTTTTGTTTCATTCACACTTTATTATTAGTCTGTCTACATCTCCAAAGCCCTGTTTGATTTTTTTTATATATCATGAAGCTGTACGGTAATTTTCAATTTAACAGCTCCTTTTTACCTTTAGTTCAGTAGAGATCGGCAATTCCAGGACTGAAATGATCCAAATGATTCTAGTGAAGGTGTGTGGAGGTTGGCTGCAGGATCTAGAGGCTGCCTGTCTATATTTTGGGGTCGACTACATTTCCCTCTCCTCCCCGGTTGCTTGTCTTGTCGTTACGTCTGTACTGTGTTTTTATTGTATGTGCTGATGTTGCGGAGGAGTTTCTTTTTTTATTTGTGTACTGGTTTCAGATAGTTAGTGTCTCAGATTCCAGATTCCAAATAGTTAGTTGTAAAAAAGATATTTATGTCACAGATAATCTCGAGATCCACCTGTTTATCTAGCAATTTTTGGTATTTAAAGCGCTCTACAAATGGATTGATTGATTGAAAAACGCAGTGGAGCACTTCCTGTATTACCGCATGACATCACAAGGTGGAGCAGAACAGTTTGGTTTGAGAGACGGACTCAACTCAGGTCTGTTTGTGATGAAGAAACATTATAACAGATCAGAAAACAGCGTAATATGGGCCCTTTAAGTATTATGTATAAATTATAACAGATATTTATTTTGATATCTTTAATTAATCTACTTAATATAATGTGTTCAGACTATTTTTATTTTAAACGGTGCCTTCGTTTTGCGTTGATGTAATGCGCTTTTTAAACCACTAGATGTCACTGCAACACAATGCTCACACTGTTCACTCCAGTAACCTCTAGACCTGTCAAAATCAACTTTGAACGTGATTTTCTTCAAATTAATAAAAAAATTCAAGATGCTTACGTTCTTGAAACCTGAAAATATCGTCACATATTTGAAACGTGGAAACTGTCTCTCATTAGTGGTTGAACTGTGAACTCTTTGTGTGGCGAGAGCATGAGGCCAGTGTGAGAACGAGACAAAGAGCTCTTCAGTAAAACACAAGGACGGACAAACTTCTGCAGCTGTTTCCTTCGCCGAGGCTCAGGCTGGTGTGAGACACAACAGAGGGGGGCAGGGGAATACCAGCCCGGGTCAAGTGAACAGATCGATTACGTTCTGCTGAAGCTGCGTTGTGTAACTTTTCTGGTGGAGGGTGCGTGGAGATGCTTATTGCTTTGTCTGGAATGTTTCACAGTACGGTATTAAACCTTTCTATCATCACGGAGACCAAACCGGACCAAGTTACAGATCATATCTGTGGAGAAATGACCCCGCTCACAGTCAGAATGCCTGTTTTCTATGTATTTTTGAGCTATAAAACCACCTGTAATCGAATAAATGCAAGATAGAGCTGTTTAAAGTCATACTGTGGAACTTTTCGGACATGACACATCCATAAAAACAAGCAATAGCTGGAAAAAGTTACACAGTGCACCTTTAAGTTACACGTGGTGCTCTGGTATTCAAGTTGTTGTTCTTAGTTTTAATGAATGATAGAAAAATTTGTCACGTTAATCATCAAGGAAACACTCATCCATTCACACACACATTTATACACCAGTGTACGTAGACGCACAACGACAGCGCTCATCTGTCGAAGCTGGATTCGAACTGTCAACCTTCAGACCAGTGGACAAACCCTACAGTCGAATAGAAAAAGCAGTTTGAATGGATGTAATAGGCGAATCAGAATCAGCAAAATAAGCAAATGCAGTAATAAAATATCTCTTTAAAGGTGCATTGTGTAAGTTTCTGTCAAATGTTAATGCTTTGTCTGGGTTGTTTCACAGTATGGTATTAAACCTTAGCTGGGCTGGCGCCACCTAGTGCTTCCACTCAATTTCAGTTCTCTTCAGGGACTAGGTCAGGAATCGGAATACACTAGACGGTTTGCAAAAACCCCGGAAGTGCGAGTTCGGGTACCAGCCAATCAGCGAAGAGCCATATATTCTGTGTTGGGAACGATTCCCGAGATCGAGGATTTAAAGCCAGAACAAAGAGAATGTTTATTGAATTTTATCGAGGGGAAAGACGTTATTGTCCTTCTTCCTACGGGGTTTAGAACATTACATATGTCACGACCAAATAGCAGCGATTGGTTAAATAAAAAAAAGTACCCGTCTACCGTCGAGCAAATAAATCCTAATGCTGAGAGCTCAGACGGTTTCCACAGAGTGAAACCGGCTGATGAATCAGGCTAATGGAGAACCAAACCAGACCAAGTTACAGGTCAGATCTGTGGAGAGGCAACCCCGCTCACAGTCAGAATCCATTTAATTTTTTATAATTTTTTCTAGGTATTTTTGAGCTATAGAAAAGAATGAGAACCTCGCACATCAGTTACTAGGAGACGGGGGCGTCGGAGAAGAGGGAGCAGCCCAAGAACATAGAGAAAAATCCTGTGTCTTACTTGCAAATTGTGAGATTTATTAGGACAAACCGTGCAACGTTTCGACACTAGGCCTTCGTCAGGCAAACAGAATGAGAGCTCAGGTGACCATCTTAAATAGGGTGTGGCAAGCACCCAAGGGTGACAGGTCATAAAGAAACAGTGCACTCAAAACCCCATAATTCAAAATACAAAGACAATCAACATACAGTGTAATGATAATAACAATGAAATATTAATCATTAGTAAAAAACTCATTAAATAATAAGAAAAATAAGAAGAATATCCTGATACATATAGACATAGTATACGTTCACCCATTTTTGTACACATTTTTGTATTTTATGAGCTATAAAAACACACACACACACTGTAATTGAATAAACATAAGGTAGAGCTGTTTAAAGTCACACTGTGGAACATTCGAGTCAGGAGCAATGACATATCCACAGCAACAAGCAGGTGACGGACCAAAAAGTTACATAATGCAGCTTTTAATCTTCATAAACTTGTTAACCTGTGCATGTTTGTTCTGCAAATGTTTGGGATTCTCGTGTTTTAAAATGTGAAATGAACTCAAATTGCTGAGTGTTATTTTGTTTATTTACTATCTGTGCATTTCAAAGACTGATTTTTTCCCATTTTGCGGACTACTGACCATTCAAAAGACAGAGTATTTTGTTTTATTAATTGCTATGGCAACTATGTACATTTTTCACCGCTCCGAAAACCATAAACTGTGAAGAATAATGAGAGAGGAAGCCGCTCTTTGATATATTGTACAAACTGAATCCAGATGGTGTTGTAGTGAGTTATTGTTTTTACAGGAGGAGGTGAGGCTTCCGTGATTGATGAAGCCCTGTATCTGTTTAATCAAATGAATTTCTTTTCTTTTTCTCTTTTTTTTGCAGAAACTTTTGGACCAAGTTCTTCAAAGGAGCAAAGACTGAGAGCCGCTGAACTTCGCAGACGACGACGCTGGATTCTTCTACACGATTCACAAAGTCCAGACAAAGCGAAGTTAAGCTCTCTACAATAGATTAAATACAACGTGGATTGGACTTTTGACTACTACAGTGTTCTCCAGACCCAACTTTGACTCTCTTTCTTCTCCTGAGATAAGCAGCTATTATTCTCGCACTTCAAAACCTAAATTTTTGAGGTAGCAAACTTTAAAAAGAGGTCATATAAGTATTGGTGTGAACTCTGGGCAAAGTTATGAATAAAATCTGTGGACGCGCAACTCATTGTAGACCAGAGTGTCCCAAACTTTTTTTTCTGGGGACCCATATTTTAAAAATCACAAACCTTCGCGACCAAAGTCCATAGACGTTTTTCGTAAATCACAAAATAAAGTTGGATTTGAGCATCATTGAACATTAATGAGGATATTTTATTGTTGACTGAGTGATCTTGTCTCTCCGAACATTTAGTATTACTCAAAAAACAGTAACTGAAGCAACAATAAAAGGATCTATAAGTCGCCTATTTGGACATCAAATGTAGCCCGTTTCTTTTTCTTTTCAACATTCAACTGAACCAGCAATATTGGAACAAAATAGTCAATAAAATAACTACTAAAAGATTAGAAATTATACAAAACTGTCTTAATATTTCAACATTTCTAATGAGACAGGTGGGTCTGTCTATGTTTTTGTAACACGTTTCAGGCAGGAGGAGAGAGCAACAGCAGATCAGACGCAGTATTCAGTCTGTTTCTGTGCTTTGTCTTCATTTTTGTGAGCACAGAAAAATCCCATTTCACACATATATGTAGTAGTGAAAGGAATAAGCGTAGAAACACTGGCCCTACTGAAGACTGGGTATTCTGATGAAATGCTTCTCCAGAATGACGACAGATCCATGTAAACAACTCTCTATTTCAGACCAACATGCAGATCGTGACAAGGCGACCCGAAAAAAGTCTCTTGTGACCCACCTGAGGGTCATGACCAATGTCTTTGGGAAACAATGTTGTAGAGAATGAAATGATAACGCAATGCAGTTTTGGTTGAAGTGTTGCACAGGTTAGAACGTATAAAGTTACGAGTCAAATCTGCGGACGGGTAAGCCAGCTCATGGTAGAGAATGAAATGAAAACACCCCTAATTAAACAGAAAAAGGCCATTTGGGTTGCAATGTTACACAGTGGAGCTTTAAGTCAATAATAGCAATAATACTGTAAAATCCTTCAACCAATGATCACCTTCAACAAGCAACAAGCAAAGCGGGAATGTCCAATGAGGTTCGTTTGGTCTTCCGATAATTTATGTTATTAGGTTCTTTTTTCAGACCAAGAGTTTGTTTTCATACGTGACAGTTTCGAATGCTCACTTCTCCTCTTCCTGAAAGTCTCGTGATGTTGCTGTGACGTGTCTGGTCGGCTGATTTAAACAGGTTTTGGCGCTGTCTTTTTACCGGTGGAGGCAAGACGACAGCCTCAGCACAGTGTCCCAGGTGTGTGAGAGTAAAAAAGCCCCCTCGTCCCGGTTTATCGTCCTGTGGGCACGTTTCTGTATTTCGATTGCCTCTTTAATCCAGTGATGGTGTTTGTTGTTCTCCGTCCCAGGCCATAATGTGGTCGTCTCTTTTACAGTTCGAGTTCTTCCTGTTCTGCTTTGTGTTTTGTTGTTCGTGTTTCACCTTTGCTATTTCCTTCTCGCATTCTGTCCTATATGTTCTTTTTTTTTTTTTGCGTACTGAACACCCTCGATGTGTGTTTTATTGTAGGACATGCAGGGTATTTCGAAACTGTCAGGTATAAAAAACAAAAACAAAAAACTAATAACGTAAAATGGGGGATGTGTCCTGCTAAAGGGCTATAGATCTGTGGATTTGTATCTCCAACTTTTCAGGTAATACGGTTTATACCACAGAGTCACAACAGGTGCGTTTTAGTATTAAGAACTGCCACGACATTTTTGTTCAACTCCAATTTGATATTTATATTATAATGATCTAAATATTCTGTATCAAGTTGTATTGTGTAAATTGTTGTTGTTTTTTCTCTTTAATTTAAGAACTGCTGTCTCTTTTCCTCTAGTCTTTTCCCTAATCCCTGAATAATAAATTTTCTTCTTAAATTGTTTCTCCTTTTCTATGTATCACATCTTGTATTTGTAAATATATTTAATAATAAAATCTTTTTTTTTTCTGATTTAGTATATATGTGATGTTCTTTAAAGGTCCTATAATACCCAAAAAATTACTCTTGTGAGCTTCAAGTCATGTTATAATGTTGTTATCTGAGCAAAAACAAACCTGGAGTTGTGTTTTGTTTCATTCACACATGTTTGAGCAGCTCTGTATTATGCCCAAAGCTCAAAATGCTCTGTTCCACCTTGTGATGTCACGAAGCAGTAGTTTTTCTCGTTAACAGCTTCCTTTTACCTTCAGTTCAGTAGAAATTGGCAATTCAAGGGCTGAAATGATCCAAATGATTCTAGTGTAGGTGTGTGGAGTTTGAAAACACAGTGGGGCACTTCCTGTATTACCAGGTGACATCACAAGGTGGAACAGAGTGTTTTCAGTTTGAGAGAAAAACTCAGCCTAAATATGCAGAAACTGTGTGCTAAACGTGTGAATGAAAACACAACTTCAGGTCTTAAAACTCCAAGTCACTCCAAAAGAAGTAAAAATCCACAGAAGTAAAAATCACACGAGGAAAAATAAAGTTAAAAAGTCTTTATTTAGATGGACTGTAGTGGACCAAACAGAAAGGCAAAGACAAGGTATAAAAATAAGTTTAAATTTAATAAAGCCAAAAAAGATATAATTTAACAAAGGCTCAAATTAGGCAAATTATTAACAAAAAAGCTGGGCCCAACTGGGGTAACTCAAAATCAAACTGAACAGAACAAAACTAACCCAACCACACAAAGGAACAGGTGTGTTTAAATACCTGAGGACCAACTTAAAGCTAAACACAAGAGGGAGGAATTACACTAATTAACTAACTAAACCAATAACTTAATCAATGTAAACAAAAAAGCAAATAATTATAATACAGAAAATAATAAGTGATAATAACGTGACCTTAACACAAACTAAACAAATTAACTTAGTAAAACAAACTAAATAGTGCTCCCCCCCTTTGCTGAGTCCTGATGGTCTCTCCCAGGGTCCTCCGTCCGGTGCTCAAAAAAACAAAAAGAACAAGTGTAAGTAAATTAGACTTATATTAACTAAAATGCGTGCACTCAAATTAGAACATAAGTCTAAATAACGGAATTAAATTATGTGTAGTGTAAATAATAATGAAAATTAAATAATACTGACACTATGGAGCGGTGGCAGAGGGATCCACCACATGGACAAAGCCAAGATGTTTCGACAAAACTGGTCTTCATCAGGGCCCAGAGCTTAACGTTTTACTTTCTTTAGAGTGCCTGGAGTCCGTTGCGTTTTAAATTCTGATCCTTTTTCCGAGACCACCCTTTACCTGGACCCACTGATAAGATAAGATATAAGATAAGATATTCCTTTATTAGTCACACAGTGGGGAAATTCCAGTGCTGCAACGCACAATTCAAGAACAGCAGGAAAATGGTAACATGCAATAAAACAAGATAATAGATAATGGCTTAAAAATAGACTGAAAAATAGACTCTAATGTAACACACTGTTTCGGTGGAGCAAAATTGATCGGAACACCTGTAGCATACAGACACATTTTAGTTTTTTTCTGTACAACGTCAGGTCTGTTTGTGATGAGAAAACAACGTAACAGATCAGAAAATAGTAGAATATGGGCCCTTTAAAACAATTATTTTAAAAAAAGATAGCGTTAATTATCCAGTTATTGCAGATATTCATCAACTTCCAATTTGTCAGTCTATATTTACTCTTTAAATTTCTCTTTTTTTCCCTCTACAAGATGCACAGAAAGCAAAACAAACGGTGATTAAATTAGCATGGTCACGTAGCGTCCAAAACCGAGCAGTTCTCCACAATAACTTGTTTGTATTATCTATTTACAGTGACAATCTTGCCCCAATTTGCAGAACAGCCCCTTTCTTTTGTGTGGTCCCAGCACAGTGACTAAGCGCCCCTTTAATTATGCAGACTCAGCAAAGCCCTGGCAGCGCTCAGGGACCAACACGACCAAACTGAAGGAATCTGACCCCTGCCCTGGTTCTGTTCATGAACTGTACTGTTCTCAATGGACGCTCTGTCTCTCTGCGTTTCATTGGCAGCAATTCACAGAAACTCCTTTTTATTCGACTTTAAAGACTCTTGGGTTTAATGTACTCGATATATGGACTTTGAATTGGAATTTGACCTTTCAAATTAACCCTTACATACTATTCGGGTTCATTTTGACCCGTTTTGACATTCAACAGTAGTAAAAAAAATACACTAAACATCATTCTTTGATCCTGAAATTTGATGACTTTTCCAAAATTTTGCCAAAATACAGAAAAATGAAAACATTTTAAAATGTTACACTTTTATATACCCCTGCTTTGAATGCGTTGACTAGTTTGAAATAAGCACAATGGCTGCAGTGGATAAAAATTGTTATATTATTAAATTCCAACAGTTCCAGAATTTTCATGTCAGTTCCAAATGCAATAAATATCATCATCATATTGGCTTTTATGGTTTTATTTGTTTTGTAAACTGGACATGATACTGTGTGAAAGCAGATGTTGTAAAACTTACAAAAATACGCTCTTCCTGCTCTCTGAAACATTATATTTATATATTACATATATTTATTCATGTGGGACAGTCTATTTATTTGGTATGGACACTTACTGTAAAGGAATTCTTGGTCCGGGCCAAATTTGACCTGGACCACACTGTGAAAGCTTAAAGGTTGTATAGAGGATTTTTTAAGGGAAGCGAAATACAGCGACCGTCCTTTTTCAAATGTTGCGCATGTGTGACACCTCCTTCCTCAGTAGAAACATCTCCTCCTCCCGCCTCTTTACTCTAGAAATCACATTTGTTTACATCCAGTGCATGTTCAGAATTACTGTTGAAGTGACCTGCCTAGAAATATTTTAGCGACCGACACGTCACTTTTTAGACCCTTCGGACTTTCTTTTGCGGCGAACCGGTCGTGGATTCTCGTTCGCCATCGCGACAAACTTTGTGCGAATTGCGAGGAAGCTACAGTTTGAAAAGGCCTCAAAGAACCACTGCATAAACCACATAATCCCCGAGCGCCGGCGAGTCAGTTACACTAAAAATGTATGGAGTTTGACTGACAACCTAACAGCCAATAGAAAAAGAGGGAGCCTCGTTTTCTATTGGCTGATGTTTATCTGGCCTCACTACGTCCACTACTGATAGATTTTCATTCTTTCTTTTTTTTTTTTTTCGGTCATCATAATTAAAAGGCTGCTGCATCTCTGTAATGGTATTTTAAACTTTCAATGACAATTTCAAACAAAAACAAAAAATCCTCCATACAACCTTTAAGAAGTGAACAGTATGTAAGGGTTAAATGAATATGATAAAACTGCATTATGTAACTCTTCTGCTGCTGGAATTTGACCATGGAGATGTTATTGATCTTCACACTTGTTCTGTTTGTGTCCTGGATTGAGTCCAGTTTAGTTAGACTTGGACTAGTCGTGTCGGAGTCGCAGTCTAGTCCAAATTTAGTCCCTTTTTGTCACAGTTCTGCAAGTACTCTTGATTTACGTTTTTAAAAATGTATTCTCTTTTATTTCATTTTATTTTATTTATTTAATGAGACAGGGACAGAGCACAATTTTGACTTTAACCTTAACAGGAGAGATGTGTGTACCAGGTTGTAGCACCAGTTCTAATTTCCACCTGTCGTCCCTGGGCAGATTCATTGATTGATTGTATTTAATTGACCTTAGCTATCAGCTGTCCTTCCTGGAGACCTGTGTAGCATGTTTTGAGTTTAATCTACGTTCCTACCCTCACCTCATCTATGGTCATGAGCTTTTGGGTAATGACCAGTGTTGGGAAGGTGACTTTTAAAATGTATTCCCCTACAGATTACAGATTACATATCCCAAAATGTAGTTTGTAACGCAATCCATGAAATTACTTAAAGTGAGTAACATAATCTGAATATTTTGGATTACTTGATATTGTCGTGCTTTTTAAAACTACATGAATGTATCAATCACATCCTGAAAATTCTTGTTTGTTCTCTTCAAATTGTCTGTTGAGCCCAAATCTCCATGAATAAGCAACTGTTTACTGTAAAGTAGCAAAGACCAGGAAATCTTAATATAAGATGTTTTGTTTTGTCTGTAAAAGACAATAAAAAGCCCAGTCTTTACTTAACCATATTAAAAATAATATTGATAGAGAAATGATTTTTATATGAGACCACTGCTGCTTTAAATTATGTTCACTCTACTGTTAGTGTCATATTGTTTAGACCTGGTTTAGTCCTGGTTTAGTGCTGATTTAGTCCTGGTTTTAGACCTGGTTTTAGTCCTAGTTTTAGTCTTAGTTTAGTCCTGCTTTAGTCCTGCTTTTAGTGCTGGTTTAGTCCTGGTTTAGCCCAAAATGTGAAAACAGGAAAATACTGCCCTGTAATCCATTTATTTCAATAAAGTAACTGTAATCTAATTACCACTCATTGAAACAGTAACTGTAACTGAATACAGTTACTCATAATTTGTACTCTGATTACCTAATCCCGGTACATTTAATCTGTTACTCCCCAACACTGGTAATGACACAAAGGACAAGATAGAGGCGATTGAAATTTGTGTCTCCTGCAGGTTTAACTTGGTGCTGGGAGGAGCTCGGAGTAGAGCCGCTGCTCCTCCACGTCGAGTAGAGCAGCTGAGGGGAGGGCATCTGTTCTAAACACCTCTTGGATGCCTCCCTGGAGTGGTGTTCATGTCTCAAAAGAGTCTGGAAAGACTCGATCTCTGGGCAGGTCTCGGAACGCCTTGGGGTCCCTTCTAAGGTGCTGGAGGAAGTGTCTGGGGTGAGGGAAGTTTGCGAATCTCTGCTCAGACTGCTGCCCCTGTGACTCGGCCCTGGATAAAGTGGAAGAAGAACTTATAACCTTTTCTTTTCTGTACCAACCCACTTCAGTGCCCTATTATTCACAAGGCAACATGCAGAAAAGTACAATTTGTAGTGACTCGCTTTCTTATAATTTAAATCTACTTTTAATCTTAAAAGTGTTATTTCATGTTCTATTGAGGGAAATATAAAGGCAATGTTAATACTCAATGATTCTATACATCCTCACCACACAGCCCGGAGTACTATGGGCAACTACAGGCAACAATGGGCTTTCAGAAACCTCTGTGTCTCCGTCAAACTGCACAAAGTGAACGGACACGTGACCACGAGCTGAATAAAAGGAAACATTGTCTGAACGGGGGACGAATCAGTAAAAGTCAGAAGTCAATTACAGCTCTTCGTTCTTGGTGAGGTTAAAAATAGCAGAGGTCAGTGACACCAGGAGACCTAATCAAAGTCTCTTCTGAATGGACACAACACCACACATCATCATCATTAGTTTATATTGTTTCTCCAAATACACAAAGGTTATAAAGTCGTATTAGACTATTTTGTTGTATACAAATTAAAACAGCATTTACCTGAAAACATCCCTTTATGAACTGCCTTTTGCTTTTACTGAAAACAGTGAATGTATGAATAAAAATTACACGCGTAACAAGCGCCGTTTGGAGCGTGAGTCAAGTTTGATAACGTACGTAACACGACGAGAACTTGACCTTCAAAATAAGAGTCCCCATTCTGAGCTTTTTCTAAAATCTTCTTAATAGTTGGTGGTATAGCTTTGTGCGTTAAAATAAGATGCTGAATTATATTTTTTGACAGTATAAATGTGTAAATAATTTAAAAGGCTGCAGGGTTTCAACGGCTAAACAGTGAATGAAACTTGAATTCACGTTAATAGGAAATAATTAGTAACAAAATGTGTCACAAGTCATTATATCGATGTTCGTTCATTTAAATACAACTGTTTAATTATTATGAAAGAATTTCCTATGCCTATTAATAAAAAAAATCAATAAAATAAAAAACTAAAAAAAAATAATAATAAATAATAATAATAATAATAATAATAATAATAATAATAATAATAATAAAATAAATAAAAAAGATGTTCCTATTCAATTAATTATAATATTTAGACTATCCATGGACTTCAGAATAAGGAAAAAGTAAGCCTGTTGTCATAGCGATTAACCATTTAAAATAAGACACATATATTTTGATTGGGGAAAAGTCCTAAAACGTTGCATATAACAGGAAACTGAAACTCAACTGAGACGAATAAAACACTTTTGTGCCATAAGAAAATGAATAAAAACATGAAATAAGAATGAAATGAAAAACAACGATGAAAAAAGAAAATTGTACAGCGAATATAAAAATATAAAATTACATATTTATCATTAGAATATTCCATAACCTTGTATTAAATTAATATCACGTTCTGGTTAGGGTGACCAAATTTTCAAAATAAGAAACTAGGACATTATTTGGTAATAATAAAACTGTGGAACGAGTGCGTAAATAAGGAAAACTGTTCTGTTATTGTCCCGTTCAAAACTAAAATGTGAGTCAGTATCGTCACATTTGAAGTGTTTTGGTCATTTTTAAGCAGCTTTTCTGTATTTTACCTAAAGAAATGTCAATTTATGCCGCTCATTACTGTTTGCGGGGATCAAAGTGGTTTAAAATAGGAATACCTGGGACATTTTTTGTATAAAACTTGGACAAATTAATAGTTTTGGATAAATCTGCTGGGACAAGGGACACACAGTTAAAATATGGGACTGTCTTGTATAAATAAGGACGTCTGGTCACTCTAGCTCTCGTAAGAAGCTGCAAATTATACTGTATTTTACTTTGTACACAGCCGGAAGTTCCCGTTATATTTCCCGTTGTCTTGACAGTTCCGTTTCCCCGTCGCTCCTCGGAACTCGGACTCTTTAGGACCCCGCGGAGCCGTTTGCCCGAAGCACATGGTCCCCACTCATAAGACAACACTTCTCTCCAGTAATTGCCTCGGAATTGATGTCATTCCAAGCGGGCTACCGAGCCGTGCCTTTCGCTTTCCTGCACGCTTTTTGTCCTCATTCAATTTTACGCACGGATTTTCTCTCGCCGGGACTGCTCCTTTTTCCTTCTGTGAATGAACTGTACAGCTGTTGTGCCCGGGATTTCCTTCGCAGATCGTATTTCAGGAAGAAGTCTTTTTATTTTTTTCTTTACAAGGGGGGTTTTACGCATCAGCTGTTGTCTGGACTCGGATTGTATGAAGTGAAGTGAAGGGAAGGAGGAAGACAGCGCGCGCTTTGGCCGGCTCGGTTTTACGCATAAGCTGGGCATCATGAAGCCCGCGAGTGCGAGTTTGAAGTTTGCGCTTTTGGCAGTTTTTTGTGCTTTGATTGTGTCTGCAAATGCACGTGACAGCGCGGGGGCCAAACGTACAACAGGTAAGACAATAAACTCACAATTAAGATTTCACTTTTTAGCGTTAATCTTTAGGAAATCGTGCACTTGTCAAATAAAATACGCTTAGAATATAATTTTATTTGACATTTTCTTGCACGTTTCATTCAGTTTACCTCCAAAATTGCAGTAATTGCTTATACTTACATTGTACTGATAAATAATTTTACGCAGGATGCCCTACCTTGACATTAATCTCTAAATTTATCTTCGAATTAGCGCAAAAATATAATTTAACGACGCACTACGTAACATTTCTGGTGGAGGATCTGCCACCTGCTGTTCTTGCTTATCCTTAAATATTCCATCGTGTGGCATTAATAAAGTTATTGATCTTTATAAAAACAAGCAAAACACTTCACCAGGCACAGTTACACGTCAGATCCGTGGAGAGGCGAGCTCATGCATAGTCAAAATGTGTGTTGCTCATGTTGTTGTACACCTGTTATTGGGTCATTACAACATGAGTCGGTTTAATGCCCTACTGTAAAACATTCCAAATAAAGCAATAACGTCTCCATGGAAACAAGCAGGTGGCAAAGTCTCCACCAGAAAAGTTACACACTGCATCTTTAATCATGAACAGTTGTACAGTCTGCTCCTGTCAATTTCTTGAGCATTGTGTTTGCAAATCATTTTAATGTTTGGAAATATTACCTCATTAAACGCTATGTAAACTTGCTTCTTAAAGGTGCATTGCGTAACATTTCTAGTAGAGGGTCTGCCTATCTATCACGAGGGAATTACAAGTCAGATCTGCGGAGAGTCGCCCCTAATCACAGAAGGAGCTACTGTATTTTTGAGCCATAGAAACGCTCGTAATGAATAAATGTTGAATGGAAATGTTTAAAGTCATAGCATGGAACTTCCCAAAAGCAATAACATCTCCACGGAAACAATCAAGTGGCAAAGTCTCCACCGGAAAAGTTTCACACTGCATCTTTAATCATGATCAGTTGTACAGTCTGCTCCCATGAAAAAATTCCTTGAGCTTTACGTTTTTGGAATAATTTTAATGTTTTGAAATAAACCCCATTCAGCTTCTTAAAGGTGCACTGCGTAACATTTCTCGTAGAGGGTCAGATCACAGCTCTACGCTTACGATTACAAGTCAGATCTGTGGAGAGTCACCCCCATTCACAGAAGAAATTACTGTATTTTTGAACAATAGAAACACCCTTAATGAGTAAACGTTAAATAATACCGACTCGAGCGTCCCCCTGGCTTGAAAGTCCCAGCTCAAGCGTCCCATTTTCTTGGCAGGAACGTCCCATTCCTCCCTCCGACGCCCTCTTCTCTCGGGCGGCACACGGGTACCTGCTGCGCCCGGGAGAGGGGATGTGTTGTACTGCGTTAGAAAATCAGCTTTCTATATCAGAATAAAATGAAATGTGAATGCAGCGAGACCAAATGTCAGGCCTGATTTGTCATTTTACTGATCTTTCCAAAGCGGCACACATTTTTTCACTATGTAATATCAATATAATCCTCATTTGCTCACGGAACTTTATTATGAAATCGTATTTTAAATCATTTTATAGCACCTGTAACTGTTGATTTGGGAAGAAAGATTAATTATTTTCTTACCTGCTGCCATAAACATAATTTGTAATCAGTGCAACACAAGAAACTTGCTACAGAATTTGTTCAAAAATCACTCAGAATGACTTAGGAAGGGCTTAACTAGGGATGTCCCGATCACATTTTTTTGCACAAGTCCGAGTCATTTGATTTTGAGCATCTGCCGATACCGAGTCTCGATCCGATACTTCTATAAAAAATATAAAATGAACTAAGAGCAAAGAATAAGATCCAGGATGTGTGCGGGATCAGATTGTGTTGATTTTATGTGTAGTATTTGAGCAGAACTTAGTGTGAAAAATCAAATGTCCAAAATTTTTATTCGATTATTAACTTTTCTAACCATGAACCATCATTGTTGAAAATCTTGACTTTTACCACAGTCTGGTCTTGGAATGTGTAACTTAATAAACTTAATGAATTGGACAAAACAGGAACCAGATCAGAATCAGATCAGACCTTGAGACTAGACTCTGCACAATCTAGAGATCTAGAGTTTATATATTTGATATTATATGGAAGCATGTGCATTACATTTGAAACATTTAGGCTCGTCTATGAAATACAAATAAAACAAAATCTCAAATAAAAACGAGATGACTTAAGCTCCACAGCCTGCGTTGAGATATATTATAACTTGCGTGTGTAATTAATACAAAATATAATGAAAACTAGGGATGGGCATTCGATGAAATTTTCTTAATCGATCGTCGAGAGAATTAACGATCGATTATCGATTAATCATTAACGTTTTTATATTAAAATGATCATCATTATTTTTACTATCTGCACTTCTAACCTGCATAAATAAATTCAACTTTACGACAAATAAACCCTAACCACTGTAGAGCCACATCAGCCCGTTTATTATAATGTGTTTAATTCAGTTTTGCTCAACTCTCACAGAAACGAAACTTAAAACCGCATGGCTAATTTGCATAAATTAAGCGAAGATAAAAATACAGCTCTTGTGCGCTGATGCGGTTCAACTTCTGTTGGATTAAAAGACATGACTCAGGTGAATACAGGTTAGTGTGACCATATTTGCGTTTGTCAAAACCAGGACACCGTACGGGGGGAGGGAGGTGGGGACTCGTCATCGACATTGAGCGACTCTCACCTGGTAAAACTTTTTCCCACTGGACACAGAAACATATGTTCCTGCTTTGTTCACTGTGCACATGGACTCACACTTGTCCCGACCGGAACGGAAAGTGTGGAATTTCTTGTACAAATCATCGTTAAATACGCATATGCACTTCAGCACGTTGCAGACTGACCGACTGTTTGTGTCTCGCTCCTTCTGAGTGCAGAGAGACACATGTACAGACCTGTTTGGTCAGGCTTCGCACAGCAACCTGCATTCGGTTTGTCGATTAAAATTTACGTAATCGATGAAATTCTTAATGATCAATTATCAATTAATCGACTAATCATGCCCATCCCTAATGAAAACATGCTTTTTTTTAATTTATTCATATGTATATAGATAAATAACTTTCATAAAATGTACAGTTGAGGGGGACTTTCCAGCTTGGGGGACTTTCTAGCTGGTTCCCGTTTAAAGTCACACCATGGAACTTCCCAGGCAAAGCATTAACATCTCCATGGAGACAAGCAAGTAACAGACCCTCCACCAGAAAAGTTGACTTTACATTTCTGATCTGCTTGGTGTTTTTGTGTACGCTCTAAAATAAAAGTTCATCCCCGCAGCAGTGATCCGAACAGTGGTGCGGGTCTTGTATAATTGATGATACTGGGAGCCTCTTTGGTAAACTATAGTAGGAGACGGCGTGTTTTTCGGGGGGTTTGAAGTGGGGTTTTTAAGACGCATCAAAAATACACACACGCTTGAATAAATGATGGGGTCTGGTGAAGTCATTCCGATGGCAAGTGTGTACAGAAAGTTCATTTTGTGTGTTTGTTTTGTAGGTTTTGTTGTAGAACGCAATTTCTACACTGAACTAGGAGCACTATGAAAAGAAGCACCGTGTAACTTTTTGGTTGGGGGTCCGTCACCTGCTTGTTTCTATGGAGATGTCATTGCTCATCCTGGAATATTCCACAGTACGACTTTAAACGGCTCTACCTTACATTTATTCGATTACAGGTGGATTTATAGCTCAAAAATACCTAGAAAAACAACATTCTGACTCTGAGCGGGGTCGCCTCTCCACAGATCTGACCTGTAACTTGGTCTGGTTTGGTCTCCATGATGATAGACATAACATCTCCTTGGAGAAAAGCATTTGACTGACCCTCGACCAGAAAAGTTACACAGTGCACCTTTAAACGCAGCAGGGAGAAGTGACAAAAAATCTAAAACAGGAGTCACATTTCAGAACATGTTTGTGCAGAGTCAGCAGGTTTTACTCAGAATGAGACTGGAGATTTTGTTGTTTGTGGAGAAAATTATGATACTTAAAAAACTGCAGACTTTGTGATTTGATAAATGCGTCCATTCAAATTACAGTTTTGATTTAAAGGGCCCATATTACGCTATTTTCTGATCTATGTTGTAATGTTGTTTCCTCATCACAAACAGGCCTGGAGTTGTGTTTTGTTTCATTCACAAATGTTTAACACGGAAACCCTGCATATTTAGGCCGAGTTTTTCTCTTAAACAGAATCTCAAACACTCTGTCCCACCTTGTGGCGTCACGTGGTGATGCAGGAAGTGCTCCACTAGGTTTTTAAACTCCATACACCTTCACTAGAATAACTTAGATCATAATTTTAGCCCTGGAATTGCCAATCTCTACTGAAACTACCGCTTCATGACATCACAAGGTGGAACAGGGCATTTTGAGCTTTGGAGATGTAGACAGACTAATAATAAAGGATGTTTCAAACGTGTGAATGAAACAAAACACAACTCCAGGTCTGTTTTTGTCATTATAACATAACTTGATTACCGTATGTTCCGCACTATTAGGAGCTCTGGATTATAAGACGCACTGTCATTAAATGGTCTATTTTCTAACTTTTTTCACAAATAAACCGCACCGGACTTTAAATGAAACACAACAGCTGGATGAGTCAGTGGTTTTGTTTGTTTGTGGCGTTCACGGTGACTCTGGGCTTTGTTCAGTTGTGGCGTGTAGGGAGGTGCTGTCTGGGATCGCTGGATTGTCGGCGTGTTCGCAGTGACTCAGTTGTTCAGTCGTGTCTAGAAGCGGCACATTGCACTCGCTTTTTCAGTTCGTTCCTCGTCGGCGTGGAGTGATGAGTGTGTCTGTGGGTGTTTGTCGCTGTGCGGTCGCTGTCTGCTCCGTGTGTGTTTGCGTGCGCTGTGGGTCGTGTGGCTTTGCAGTTTACTGAAGTCGTACTGGGACACTCGAGTAGATTCGTGTATAGGGCGCTCTGGATTGTGGGACGCGCAGTCGTTTTTTGATGGGGTTAG